GACTTGGCGGTCTTACCAATTTGTACATTGTTGTACACTGAATTGAGAACAACTAAACATAAAAAAGCTTTGTTATCAATCTCCTTTTCTTGAGAGGGCCCAACTGAATGTGCAATAAAATATGGACCTGGGGTATGTCGTAACATTTTAAATGATTAAGTGCTTTAAAATGAGATATCACATGAGTTCCATTTCATCTGAAAAATGTTCTGAGATCGCGCCCTACCGTCATTTTGAAATTTTCAATTATCATTTTTACACTAAGATGTAGTATTCATGCATCAATTTCGTCAACACAAAATTCAATGTATAATCCTTTTCATATCAAACCCCAATTCAAATTAAAGTTCAGTAGGAAAAAACATATACGAAATATGTAATGGAATTACACCAGTCTTTCTGTGAATCAGTGTTTTCAGTGGCAGTCGGCACTTTATACTAACATTTTTCCAACGAAACAATAACATAGAACAAGGCCAGTAGAATCACTCTGGCTAACGTTTGTCAGTCGAGTGGATTTTATGTGCACACAGATCAGCTCAGGTTCTAGCTAGTGGTGTTGAAAAAGTAACTATTCGTTACTCCAGTACTCGTTACTCATAGATACCCGAAGTAACGAGTACCAATCCGAACATGATTTGATTACTTAGATTACTCTGTTTTCCGTATCCGAGCCGGCTATCCGTACAATCGTTGATCATTAAGTGGCAACGCTGGTTTCACCGTAGCACCGCCGCTGATACATTTGGGTGGAAACCTGAAAACCCCAGATTTAAAAACGATTACCAAATTCTATGTCCGCCAATCAAAAAACATTATGTTTAGCTATTTACACCGTGACACAAATTCGCTTGTATTGTGTTCTTGGCAACCTGAAAAGGAATAAGGAGTCGATTGGATTGGAGCAAAGTTTGGCGTATTATGAGGCAGAAAAGCTTTGTTAAAAAAAATATAATTCAGTATGACCAGCAGTGTAGACTAAGCTCCATGTAGAATTGTGTATACTGTTATATGCTTTATTGAAATACTTCGAAAAGCTACTTGCCATTCCGAATTTCCTTAAGCCCATATACAGATCATCTTTCTGACTAAAGGACATGCGTTTTAAGCACTTCTACTAGATATAAAATATTTTCAGTTTAGGCTCATAAGAGTCATATGACACTATATAATATCATAACCCATCTCGATAAGCATAAAGTTTGAAGATACAATGTTTGCATTAAACACGGCATAATTGAATGAGCTATGCTTGAAATATTTTGCAAATTGGTTGTCTATTTTCGTACAAAATTCGGTTCCATTAAACTTGTTCAAATTCGACATTAATTACACGACGCACGTTGCCAAATCGTTATACTCATACTACTCATAGTAATCAAAGTAATCAAAGTAACGAGTACAATAGATGATTACTTTGTAGAAGATTAGTAACGATTACTCGAAAGTAAGGAGAATCAACTCCACTATTTCTATGACAGAGAGCACCAATATAACCCAAGCTGTCAACGCGATCGCTTCAGCCAGAAGCACCGACAGATACACCGGTACAAGGTCGGTCTGTGTTTTCAGCACTGTAGGCCTCGTTGACCTGTGCATTTTTCAAGGTTCAGGTGCTTGATTACATTATTAATCCAACAGGTCTTGAATGTGCATGACTGTTCTGAGTCCGAACAATGGCCCTAAGAATGACTTTAGCGAAAAAGCTACGAGGTCCTTTATTCCAATAGTTCAAACGTTACCTATCCTAATACAATTTTGACACAAAAGGTACAGCCACTAAACTTAATACCATATTTTGAATGTTCTTGAAGTTGCTGATAATTTTTTGACGTAGTACAAGTTCATGGGATCGACACTTTAAAATGAGAGAATATGTTATTTGCCGATTTTTTACTTTCTGGATATTTCGGGCCATAGTAGAAATATAGGTTGTTCGAAAATTCTGAAACCAGGTATGCCTTGTATAGAATTTACATAAATATATCGCTAACAACGCTTAGAATTTCTGTGTAGCTGAAATGTGTCTGAGCCGCATGCGATCAATTTGAGTGTGAAGAGGTTTGCAAAATTTAGCTTCTCTTACCAGTAAACTATAGGAAAAGTGTACCGATAAGTATAGATAGATACTAATGTGTAGGGAGTACTGTGGCGACCTACTTGGTTGCACTTTTTTCTATTCAGTTCTCGAGAAATTTCGTCATTTCGCAAAATTATATGGCTATAAACAAATAAATGGACGGCATCATAAAAAACACATAGTAATTTTCTGTGGAGATAGTGACGCATGCGGCTATGTACAAATAAGCTATCAGACTATTAGAATAAAGCATAAAGTTTTTTTGTAAAAACGTTTTTAAGAGTGACACAATTCAGGCCCAATGGCGAAATAATTACATAGTGAGCACATCTCAATATGCATTACAGCGTCGTATTATTGACGTATTGTGCCTCATTCATTCTACAAATTACTTTACTCCCCCCGATATCAAGTCACCTTTGTACTAAATAATTCCGTCATTTCCAACAAGCAATGTCTCACTGTCAGAGACTTTGTACAATCATCCATACCAGTTCAGGATATGTGGTGACTTGCTGCTCTGATCAAGTCCTGCTATACAGGGTGTCCAAGATGAGTATCCTATGCATACCTGTGGGAGATGCAGCTTAGGTTAAATTAGAAAAAAGCTGCATTCTTTGAGGCGCATTTACATGCTGATGGGGAAAAATGTTATGGCTTACCGGGGCATTTGGAAAAACTAAAATTTGAGTAAATCGTTTTTTTGTGACTTTATTTTAAGATATATCAAAAAACTAATGAGACTTTTCAATTGGCACTGTTTAAGCACCACATAATGGTGTTTTTAAATTTTTGTGTGCGACGTTTCGTTTTTGAGAAACCATTATTTATTTCTATATGGCCAGAGAAAAAAGTATAGTACATCCTGTACCTGATAGCATCTTTTATACGAATTCAACGATATATTACATGTTACATTTGTGTTCTCACTTATAAAGAAAAATGTGCTTTATTTTTACACTATTAGATACAGGGTGCACTTTTTTCGTACCCTATAAAAAATAAAGTTGATGATTTCTCAAAAACGAGCCGCCACGCAGAAAATTTAGAAACACGTCATCGTGGAAACCCAACCGTTGTCGGAAAAAACGGTTAAGTCCGAACATGTTAATTAACCACCGCTTGACGCTGTAAACGGCGGTGAAAACGAACCGCCGAAGCAGATCGCGTATATATCGGAGGCTGAAAATTATATTGGAGAATTTGCCTGAGTAGCTTCTGGGTTACCAATTCTGTGGTAATAAAGACTCTCCTTTCGTCAACATATTCAACTATTCCGAGGGAACTGGCGGAACCGCATGAAGTCTTCCAATTCATAACCGCGATAACGTTCACTACAAAGATAATTCAAAATTTTTAGCATGTATAATGACGATCCCTTGCTAATTCTTGGCGATAATTCATTGCAAATTGCCCTGTACAGTCTACTCCCATGAAATATGGTGTGCGTTTCCCTATTTTCTGTAAAAGATGAAACGATGGCAGTGCCGTGCATAGAGTACGTAGGAAGAAAAGAAAGATGGTTTCATATAGGTTATTGAAAAATACGATTAGTTGAAATTAACTTACCGTCATCCGGGCCTACTTTGTCCTCCCGGGGTAACTTTGTCACCTCGGGCGCAGCCATACTGATTTTTGATTAATACTTTGTTTTGATTATGAAATTTTTTGTACCACGTTTTTCCTTTGTTACAGGTTCTAACTAAATAAAAATGGCCAGAAAATATATAAAAATGCCGGGGAGCCGGAATCATCAGAATTATTCCAAAGACTACCTTGAAAAAGCGGCGAACGCTGTTAAAAGTGGCATGTTCAAAAAACGAGCAGCCATATTGTTCAAAATCCCATGGGCTACTCCTGTAAATAGATGTCTTGGAAGAGACAACAGAAAATGCGGTCACCTCACCGTTCTATATCAGCAGGAGCAACAGGTGATTGCATATACCCTTGGGCAAGTGGCCAACTGCGGTTTGCCTTTAACTAAGTTAGATATTCGCACTGTAGTTAAAAAACACTTGAATAAATAAGGTAGAGTTGTGAGTGTGTTTGAAGACAATTATCCAGGTGATAATTTTGTGAGAAAGAACAACCTCTCAGTGCGGTTGGCCACGCGATCATCCGTGGACCAAGCCGATGTGTTGGAATTTTTTAATAATGTGAAAGACGCTCTTGTAAATGCAAGTCCTCAAAACATCTACAACTATGATGAAACCAATATAGCTGATGATCCTGGTGCCAAGAAAGTAATAGTATCGAGGAACTTCAGAAGAGTTGAACGGGTTCAGAACTATTCACGCTCTTGCACTAGCATAATGGGGCCGGAAATGCTGCTGCTCAATTATTGCCACCAATGGTGGTGTACAAGAGCAGGAACTTGTATGAAAATTGGTGTACTGGTGGTCGACCTGGAACTGTATACGGGAATACCATTTCAGGGTGGTTTGACATGAGCCAGTTTGAAAAATGGTTTTTTAAAGTGTTGCTTCCACACGTACAATCAACACGAGAAGCTGGAGCAAAAACAGTGGTAATTGGTGATAATTTAGCGAGTCATTTCGCCCATTCCGTTATACAAACTGCCAAGAAGAGCAGTATTTATATGTATCCATTTCCGGCCAATGCAACCCATTTGATGCAGCCATTAGACGTGGCTGTTTTCGCCCTCTAAAAAGAAAGTGGCGCGACATTTTAGAACGGTGGCGAAAGGAGAGTCGATACACAGGCACCCTGCCTAAAGAGCAATTCTCCCCGTTACTTGCAAAGCTCTGTGCTCAGATCAACGATAGTATCGAAATAAATCTACAGTCGGGGTTTCGGACCACAGTGCTATATCCCATGAACCCAGACGAAGTTTTAAGAAAAATTCCCGGGGCTTTACCTACCAGTGAAGAAGTTTCTCGTTGACGCCAGTCTAGCAGACATGTTGAAAGAAATACGGGGCACATCAGACGAACAGAAAAAACGGAAGAGGGGAAAGAAGTTTAAACCGGGGAAAGAAATAGACACAATAGCTAAACAGGCAGTTACACAGGATGTACCCAAAGACATGGGGGTTGAATCTGATGATGACGAATTGCCTTGTTCTGTGTCCGAAGGCATGAATATCAGTGCTACATCTGGTATTATCTCAAAAATAAAAAGGTCCGCTCCTAAACAGCATAATAGCAATAAATATTACGAAAAAGGCAGTAAGGAATCGCGATAACACTTCAAAGTGTGGAATCCGCTCAACTAAATTTAAAAACTACAACAGCACTGTCGAATGGATTCAATGTTTAAGATGCCAGAAGTGGATATGTGGCATATGTAATGAGGGTAGCAAAGATCCCTATTTTGTTTGTTTGAGGTGTGATGATGAGTCCGAAGAAGTAGACGAACCTTTCGGCGATAATAACGATGACGACGCCACCTTTGACCCTTAAATAAGTTTTCAGTTTTTATGCAGTTACCATTAAGAATTCAAAGTTTTGTTTTTTACCTTGAAAAAATATATACTCACTATGTACCTATCTTATCTTTTTATCGGGGCTACTTTATCACAAAGCTCAACAGAACACGATTTGAATCGGATTTCCACAAGGTGACAAAGTAGCCCCAGACCCGGGGTAACATTGTCACCCTATTTTTTATTTTTTATTTTTTTAAATCTCTCTATCTGCAGTGGCTCATTTGGTACATTAAAATTTATTTGAAGCTGTTGTCTCAATAAATAAGACAGGTATGGTAGAATATGTTTCAAAAACATGACAAAGTAGCCCCGTTTGACGGTATTTCTGCCATAGCAGAACCGAATAATCAGTGTAGCTATCTCTCAGTAATGAACTGATCAGTCTAGGGGAATAATTAAAGTATGTGTAATCATCTCACCCAGTGTTGCTCCGACTATTACAACCGTAACAGATCCATTACTATTAGAAAATTTCTTTTATTATCTATTGTCATGAGCCTGGTTTCTATTACCTTTCCCATTTCTCCTGATAGCTGCTGGCACCATCTCTGTATAATCAGTTTTTTTATCCCCCACCTGAGCCATCTGTGTAATAAGTATTAGTTTTTTTTTTGGTGAGTCATAGTTCACTTAAAATGGAGACAGGTTAGTTGAGCGCCTGTTCCTAGATGACTTGTATTAGTAGAAATAGATAAATTGCGAAAGGATAGATACATAATAGACATAATTATTAGTAAAAATAATTTCCATTGATATTTGGAGATGCTGGAAAGATCTGCGGTATATATACTGAGCAGTAAAGTTCCAAGTATGCTGCCTCAACCTCAACCCCTGATGCAACTGTCCTTTCACTAGATAGTTCTCCATTGAGCCTCACTAATTGCCTCCTATTTCTTAAGTAACTAGTAATTCACTGTAACGCTGATGCTTTCACACCATAGTGAGACAACTTGGCTACCAAAAGATCTACCAAAAGATTGTGGTCAACCAACGCCTTACTGAAGTCGAATTATATCAGTAGTGTCACTTCTGAGTTATTGATGGAAGCGGTCATATACTTAGTTATTTTCATCAACACTGAAGTGGTGCTCTGATGCTGCCTAAAATCTTATTGAACTTGAAATGTTCTACGAACTCCTGTACTTTGAGATGCTTCTTATAAAAAAAACGAGTGTATCATATATGTAGTCTGTTCGTGATCCTGCCAAACCAGAGGGTCCAAAATTTCCGACAGCCCCGAGCCCTAAGGCTGCATTGCAGAAAAAAATGTTATGAGAACCGAAATTCGCGATACCAAATGTTTTTGTGTGACAAATTCAAGGCACTAGTTTTTATATGCTTCCAATACCGATCTGTGAGTGAAATATCAGCGAGAGCCCAATTAACTTGCGTTCTACGCCCATGACTTATGATTGCAGCTGTGATAACTCCTTTATCCTCAGACGGCTTCTTGAAGAAAACTTTTCTAATAATTCTCTGGTTTGCCAATATGGTATAGGAAGATTGCCGGAATAACTTCTGTCGAGAAAATAGATGAAACAGACCAAGAAATAAGCTGGATCTAGTGTTTCCTAAAAAACCTTATATGGAGGCTGTAGGTCTTCCAACAATAACTGCTATACAGGGTGCTTGGGAAGTCGATACAAAGTCTTGGAGAGGTGATGGGCAGACCATTTAGAATCTTTTGAGCCAAAAATACCTTAGTTCAAAGTCTTACGGTTTTCGAGTTATTCGAGATTATCGACTTTTATTGAAAAAAATATGCCTTTTGTTTCGCTTATCACTGAAAGAACTTCATAGTATATGAAATAGTTTTCAAAATACCTGACATTGTGTTTTTTTCTCCGAAGGTAGAGAAAAAAAACAAATTGACTCTAAACAAATAACAAATACATGTTTTCCTATTTCTGTGATACTGATAAGGAAAAATGAGTTTGCGTGCATGCTAAAACTAAATTCCACAGATTCTTGATTTATTCCTTTCCAAACAAGTCAATTTCAGTCCAAAAACCCTGAATGAATTAGTTTGTAAAATGGTCTCTTTCACTAACGAAGAATACGCAGATGTCGTTTACATGTATGGCGAAGCAGATAGATGGTAATGGTCTAGAAGCAAGAGCGATTTCCTGGGAGAAGATTGCCTAACGTCAGAGTGTTCTACAATACTTATCGACGTCTTTACGAGACTGGAAGAGTAACACGTAATGAACCTGGTGTTAATCCAGGTCGATATCCTCCTGAAGCCGAGGATCTAATTTCCCGAACGTTTGAAGATGCTCCCACTACAAGTACTAAGAAAGTTGCTGCTGATCTTAGTTCGTCGCCATGAAAGGTTTGGAGTATCATGCATCGTGAACGAAAACATCCTTTTCATGGTATCGACGTACAAGGACTTGAAGATGCTGATCCTATTCGCAGAAGCCAGTTTTGTCGTTTTCTCTTACAGAATGAACGGTTTCTGGAAAGCATTCTATGGACGGACGGATCCAATTTTTCAGAAGAGAACATTATAAATTTTCACAATTTCACGTAAGATAATATTTTTACGATACTTTTCCAAATAGCTGGACAGGCAGAGGTGGACCAATTCCGTGGCCTGCTATATCCCCAGACTTGACACAATTAGATTTCTATGTCTGGAGGCGGGCTAAATAGTTAGAAGAAATCGTATCAAGAGACCATTTAATAAGAAAAATTCGAGAAGCTTTTTATTTAATGCAGAAAGACAGGTTATTAATTACAACAACTACCGAAGTAACACGTAGAGCTCGAACATGTATTAGAAACAGTGGTTCTCAATTTGAACACTAATAAAGCACGTTTCAATATTTCATTTTGTTTCGTTTACTTATTTATGATTTAAATTTGAAAATCCGAATATCTCGAAAACCGTAATACCTTGTACTGAGGTATGTTTGGCTTAAAAGACTCTAAATGTTCTGCCCTATCCCCTCCCCAAGACTTTGTATCGATCTTCCAAACACCCTGTATAATCTCGTCAAGTAATAGTTCACCAATTTTGTGGGAATTATTAAGTGTTAAAACACGCTTACTTTAGGTCAAATCATAACAATAAATTCTCAGGTACTTACTTCTGGGAACATGTTTTTGGACGAGATACATTTTCAAGAAACCGTTTATTTTCATATACCTAATAGCCCCTCCAGACTCAGGCGAGAAGTCTTCACGCAGTGAATTTACGCGAGAAACGAGAAGGTATCTACACTCTGCGAATGCGATACTCTTTTCTTTTCTCAGCCGACACACCCTTTGACTCGGGCGTAATTAGCGCCACCGATCGGAGAACAGGCGCGCGCGAGAGTGAGACGGGCGAGCAACAGATAACATCGATGGTGTAGCGCACAAATGTGATAAGACCGAAATGTCACTTTTGCGCTATACAATAAAATAGCTTTGACTCAAAAGTAAAATTGATTAGCGGCTTATTACTAAATAAATGAACTTCAAAGTTGACGATTTGAACATTACTCTGTAAATTACATACCTTTTAATCAGGGTAGGAAAAGCGTTAAACAATTTTTGAAAAAATAAAGATTTATTTGTCATCACTTAACACATTTGTATCATATTGCACTGTAACTTAACACCTACTTTTCTTATTGATTATACTAACTGAAATATTCATTACAAACTTGGCCCACCAATGGCAGAGATAACAATAAAATAAACAGTTACATAAGGGAGTCAGTCAACAATTTCCAATTTCTCGGTGAATGTATGAAGTTTATTGATCATCTTCAGACTGGGAATGTAGCATAAGCTTTGAAAGATCCGAAGTTGAAGGCAAGTTGTTAATAAAGTCTGCGTAATCCAATGGGATGGTTTCGTGATTAAGGAGATACAAGAGATCAGACTTTTTTTTCTCTGAAATAGGAAGACGGGTAGCATATTTTCTTTTTAATTGCACTGAATCCCATGACCGTTTGCGGCCTGATCTTCGTTTATTCGCAGACACGTCTATTTCATAAAAAAAGTCCGCTGATAGGTCATATTTATACTGGATTATATTTGGGCTGCGCTTTTCAAAACGCAACCATTTAATACGGATCCAAGATACCTTTTCGCCATTATTGTTCAACGAGGTATTATTAACAATTCATTCTACAAGTTGTTGTAGGTCGAGAAAGTCACAATATTGCATGTTATTTACGTGGTATGGTCGTGGCCTGAGTCTACTAGCAGATATTAGTAGACACCATTCACGTGTAGTATAAATTTTTTATGTCTTCTTGCTCTTTCTATAGTGGCATGCATGGAGTCGGCCTCTAAATAGGAATGTCCGGACTCCATGAACTTTAGATCGATGGTTTTCAAATTAGTCAGCTTATTAACTGAGTATAGCATTGCAGCGCTAACGAACTTATTGCGGTTTTGACCACCACAGGTGTCTGAAAATGTAGCTACGTGTTCAACAGTTTGAGGTAAACTTTGCAAATACTTATAAAGACAAGTTCCAATTTCCGAGCTCCCCTTGCTGCCGTGTGTTTCATCCCATACGTAACAAATACCATCCTTGTTCGAGCAATCATAGATTGTTAAGTTGTATACATTGAGGTGAGATTTATAATATACTTGACTATCACCTGCAAAGGGAATGGGCAAAATGGCTTGCAAATCAAAAGAGATTGCTCTGAACTCTCTTCCCTTGTTTTCAACTGCACGTTTTTTATCATTCTCTTTCATTTCTAGTGACTCCTTCTCTCGACGTTTATGGTTTTCGAAGTTGACACGTGAAGGTTCTTTGTTTTGCGATGCCTTGAAAACATTGCATACAGTACATTGGTCTTTTTTTGGCTTATAAAAAGAAAGCGGTGGGTCATGTTCATGTAATATACTTTGATACACGAACCTAGATACAGGACTCATATCATTTTCTTCGCAATATTCCTGATATAGGCGATACATTATGGAAATGTTTAGTTCTGGTGAGAGGTACTCTTTTTTTGAGTCTCGTCTACAATAGTGAGACTCGATTTTTGGAAAAGAATCGATGTAGCTCATTACTTGCTGCTTAATTGCAATGGGAGTTATGTTATGAGGCTTGGAGTCTATCCGTTTATCATGGCCGATAAAAAGGCCAGTGCTGCTCATAGATTTATTTATTGTCTCTATTACTCGATGTGAAATAGCAAAAGTAGCACAAAAGAATTTTTGGCATACTCTATGCTTAACACCCTTTGTGTTTTTCAAATTGTATATTCTAGAAGTGGCACGGATTTAGTCAGTGGAGTGCATTTTTTTCTGCTTACTGGTACATTCTCCACTAAAAAACTTAAATATATTTTCTGCCTAGTGTAGTCTGCTAATTGATAATACTCTTTACATCATATTTGACATTCATCCTGCGAAAGAAAGTTGCTGCATTTATAGCGACATTTGGAACAGTCTACTATTTTTGGAAGTTTTACTGGTACTGTCTTACCAGCTCGATTTACATATTTTTCGCCACTTAATCTCAAAGTCTTCACAACAGACCTTTTCCAGAGTTGAGGGTCGGCTTTTCTTTTTCGTTGCTTTTTAGAGGGTTGATATGTTACCTCGTCTGGTTCGCTATCAGATTCACTAGCTTGATTGGAAGGAGTATAAGAGCTGTCAGATGGAACAAATGGTTGTCGGTACTCATGGTGGTTGGTGAAGGACTACAGTTCATTATATTTTCTGAAATATACAGTAAAACATTAGTAACAAACGTGAGCAATATATTGTCAAGTAATACCTATTACTGGTACGTCCAACTGGGAATCTGTGAAAATAGCTTCTTCCGTATTTAGTCCACAGCAACGGTCCTGAATAACATCAGTTTCGGTAGTTGGGGGTACGGCGATTGCAGCAGTCCTCAAATTCAGCTCATCTATAAGTAAAATATACTGAACTATCTTAAAAATCTGATTCATTCAGTATTATCTATCCATACCCTGTATAATTTCAAATTCCGTATTATTTCCTCCACTACGTGATTCAAAAACAGCGTCGATTGGTACAGATGGAAGCACTTCTACTTCAGAATACCTCAAAACCTCCCTATCTGCAAGCAAATGAACGTTTCATAAAAAAAGGTCTACCTGTTTCATGTTATACGTACCCTGTATACTTTTTGTACAGACTTGCTCCTTCAGAGCCAGTTGTAGAATTAGTGCAGATCGAGACGCCATGGCCTTTTCGCAGCATACACTTGTATCACGCACACACTAGTATCACGACCAGACCAGCTAAAATTCTAACCTCAAACTTCAGCCTACGAGAAATGTGTGAATCACAGATGTGGCAATTACCTTTAACACCATCTTGTGGATGTAGGTTACTAAGTACAAATGTGTTAAGTACATTTAAGACGTTTGCGATAGAAATCTACATTTCAAAGTTACTTATACCTACTGGCAGGTGGCGCTAGATGCATCATAAATATATTAATCAACTACCACACTTGTGCATGCGATGCTTCGTCCCTTGAGTAATATGCTGCTGTAGATAAGTCAATTTCACATTCACGCTGCTCGGGTGTTCTCGCTGTGAGTCTGGAGGAGCTATTGTAGCTGATAGATTTTCAGAAGTATATACAGGGTGACTTCGAAGTTGAGTCATTTATTTTAACAGTGAGTAGATCTGATCAAAAGAAATGTTTTTTTCCTTTAACATTTTTCTGGTAAAATTAAAGTAACAAAGTTACCCTTTAGAAGTTTGAGTACCGCCCTGTCTCAATAATAATATTATGTGCTCGTGTTTGACAACAACGGATATAATCCGCCTTATCGGTTCATCGCATCGGAAACAAAAAAGCGAAAGAATTTGAAACGCTTATCACGATGTTTTTACTACAATTTTATTCAGTTGTATTCAGTCAATGTATCAGTCGGTAACGCGTGAGTGAATAGTGGTGTTTGTTGCGTGGCTCAAACGAAATAAAAAATGGCACATGTTTACGAAAATGCTGAACTTGTGGATATGATTCTTATTTACGGGGGGGGAGTCTTTACAAAATGCTGCCGCGTCATCACGGATTTATGCGGATCGGTTCTCGGATCGGTTTCCCAATCGAGTGCAACCAACCCCTCGTGCCTTTGTTAATGTAGTACAAAGGGCTCGTGAATCACAGGGGAGGGCATGCCAAGACCGCACGATCAAATACAGGTCCGCACTGAAATACTTGTCGGGAGGATACTTTATAAAACAAGGTAACATTTTTTTTTTATTTTTTTTATTTTTTTTTTATTTTTACACACATATTTTGGTTTATCTTCCTTCTACAATCATTATCTGAAAATTAATGACTCAACTTCAAAGTCACCCTGTAGATTTAGCTAAAAAAAGTATCCATGGATCGCGAGAATATTTCGTTACTGTTAAGTATTTCTTATTTTGGGAGGCTGATGGGTTGTTTATTGTAGTCGAGACAGATTTTATGTATTTTGCTGATGAAATGCAGACTTAGAAGATTAAATATTGATCGGAGCGATGTAATTAATTTTTATAAAATCGAAAATTTACTGCACCAAAATACATCAGATACCGCCATGAAGTTATATGTATGAACTTTCATCGCGCATCAAAATAAGACTTCAGCAAGATCCAACTACATACTAATATCTTGAAAAGGTCAAGTTACCAAGCTAAAGTAACATTACATAGTCAAGCTGTAGGGCATTCTTTTGTTTGATTCACATACTTGTACCTACACTGAGAAAAAAGTGTTATCAAACCAAATTAAAATTTTAATTAGGCCAATTAAAAAATTTAATCAACTATGTAACAGCTAACTGCCTAATTAGTCTAATTAAACTCCAATTTCTAAAACAACTCATATGAATCCATGAAACTAGTTTAATTGAACCAAAAAGCATTCGTTTAATTGATTTAATTAAGCAGTTCACTTAGATTGAGTACACCAATTTATTTAAAATTTATGAACTATTAAAATGAGCTTACCTGCTCCAAGTAAGACAATTTAATTATATTTATAAAATTTAATTTTGCCTATTTGGTTTAAGTATAAGTATCTGCCTAGTCATAATGGATTATTTTATTTAGATTTAAGAGGATATTCGGATAATATTTGGGATTTAAGAACAAATTTTATTTCAGTGTATGATGCTCTGTCAAAGCTTAGTTATAAAAAATTTGGAAAACTTGTATTGATAATTAATTTTTACCAATCAAAATAAAAACTTCCCAATTTTGTTACCCCACAAAATTCGATATTTTTATCTTCATTAGTTGTGAACTAATTATAAACGGGATAAAGTTTTATCACTTATGGTTCTGATTGTCCTGAAACACGTTATAATCTATCACCTTTTACTAAAAGCAATGCTTTGTTGTAAACTCAGAAAGTAGGGAGAGGGGTACCTGAAACTAATAAAGCCGCTTGATTATGTATACAAAGATTTTACTTTTATTTCTGATAATAAAATAATATTGCACTCACCCGCACGCATTTACGTATATAAACAAATTTGACATCACTTTAAACAAACTGGGTTACTTTTGAATACTACCAAATCTGCTCCAATGGGAGGCTCCACATTATATACATACAATGTAAACAAAGCTCATGAAGCCTATGCTAAGCACATTTTTGGAATAAATGCATCATTGAGCTAAATACAGCTTCATAAATAAAGTATTAAGGTTCTTCCAATTCCGTCATGACAGCAGTGACTCCTCTATACAGAGTGTTTCATTGGAATCAAGAAATATTCTTATAGTTGTAGTCACCGTTCTTGTCAGGTCAAAGTAAGACTACCAGTATCCCTTTAAATATCTCTATTTCCCTCATACATACACATGCAACCTAGCCCTGTGTGTGAACGTTTGTTCAGTAAGCTCAAAGACATACGTTTTTTAGTTGTGTGTCCCCGTCTCGCATGAGTGCCCTTCAATCATATTTGTCAAAGTGACAACTTACTTGACATCGGCGTGCAATTTGAGTTGTCCTGTTATCAATCTTCTATATAAAATTGTACAATGTCCGGAAATACGATCAATGGAGAAGGCCGACAGCTCGTGCTGAATGTATTTGAGTATTTCCAGGAAGAGAATGGAAACAGTAGTCCCCTGTTACCCACTTCATGCGTACTGCCGAGAGTAGCAGATGCGCTGAAGATTAGTCTGCGCAGGGTTTAGAGAATAAAATCAGAAAATAATAAATGACCCATAGTAACACCTGAAAAAATGAAGGCCGGTGATGTAAGTGATGCCATCATAACAGAAGTTAGGAATACTTTCTACGATATGAGAAGTAAAGGGCAACCTATCACGACGTCTCCGAACATGGTACGGAGGCTCGATCTGTTTACTTATTTCATGTGGCGCTGATGGCGTAACCGCCAAGAACGGTGACTATAACTATATCATGGTCATATGCCACTAAGCGCCTTATGCTCGAGTATTCTACTTTCCGATCACTCACGAATGACGGGCTGAGTCTATTTGAATAAGCAGTTTAAGCACCAAAAAACCGACCATTCCAACCAATCACATTAAACAACCCACCGTCAAATTGTAGTAACCAATGGCATGTGAAGCATAAAAGATGATATCTGTCAACTATGAGATCATCAAAATGTTTTAGAATCCATTCGTTATCTTAAAAATCATATCAGCATGATTAACATTACTCAGGATTATAAAAAATATTTAACATGCAAGTGGAAACTACAGTTTTATCATTTTGGTTCATAATCTCGAGTCATTTTAGCACTTCTGCCTGTTGAGTTTAAATGTTTCAAACAACACAACCTTTTGTTGTTTAAAGTATATACGAGCCCCGTCCCACTTCAGTTGGCCCAACTATTGATATCTTAGTTTTTTTCTTATCAAACACAAATAATAAAAATGTAGCAGGGTGTTATAGGTTTAAAATACTAACAATGAATATTTTGATAATATATAGTATAAAACACCAACTTTATCACTCCCTAATCAAATTTGAAGCATAAAAATAAAACATGTTGCAATTACAGCATATCAACCTATTTTCATTTCAATGCAAAATAAGTCTATAACGCATAGGTGGCTGTGAAAAATAAAAGCCATGACAATTGTTTTTATCAATCACAGCTGTCAGAATACGTCTAAAATAGTTTTGGATAGTT